TGTCAGGGGTGATTTGAATGCAATATTCCTGCTTCTTGGCAGGGGGCTGGACTGGATGGCCCATGAGGTCTCCTCCAACTCTTTGATTCTATGAGCTCAGAGACTCACATGTAGTTGTGGGGGAGAAGCTATCCCTCAGAGCATTTAAGATCATGAGTTTGTTTTAAGATTAGAGTTGATGACAGGAAATATCTGCATCATGGAACTGATTCCAAGGAATACTTTTTTGTAAAACTTAATTTTACTAATGATTTCTGAAGTAAATAAAGGACACAAACATTTTTTCTAGTTATTTCACTACAACAAAGAGCTTTCACAGCTGGAATCACTGAGGTGTTGTGTGGGCTTTGGGCTGTATGGTTGTGTTCTAGCAACATTTTCTCCTGAAGTTTCACCTGCCTCTATGGCTGGCATCTTCAGATGCAGGTGAAATGTTAGGAGAAAATCCTGATAGAACAAGTCCATACAGCCCAGAATCCACACAGCACCCCAGCTTCATTGACTCTTTCCTCTTTATCAAAAGAATATGGAAAGAACACAAACATGAGGAAGAAAAGAAAGGTCCAGTAGCTCAGAGGGTGCATCAAATCAGATCAAAGATGACTTATGGCCTTAGGCCTCCAGTTGCCCAACCATGACATTTGGCAATCCTTAGGATTTGGAACATTAGATTCAAGTATAATGTTAAGTACATTGTTATAATACAGATTCCTTCAATATAATCACTTCTGAAGGATGGGCAAACTGATTTACACCAAAATCAATCATTACAGCTTTGGTTTTGTACCTCTGACTATCTAGAGTAGAAGATGCTCCACCAGGCTGTGTGAGGGCCCTTCCACATAGCCATATAACTCAGAATATCAAGGCAGATAATCCACAGTATCTGCTTTGAACTGGATTATCTGAGTCCATACTGCCATATAATTCAGTTCAATGTGGATTTTATACAGCTGTGTGGAAGGGGCCTAAAAAGAGGGGCTAAATTCTCCTTACACCTTTACTGGTCTCAGGCCAACACAGGCTCAACTCTGGCAGGATCTACACTGAACTATATCCAAGGATCTGATCCCAAAGTATGTGCATTGAGCTGGATTATATGAGGCTATGCTGGGATAAGCAGATAATCTGTGATCAGATCCTGGGATATAGGGCAGTGTAGATTCAGCCTCTGTTGACCTCACTGCTCCGTCACTTAAGCCAGCTCCACTCAAATGTCCTGAACAATGAAAAACAGTAACAATGGCAAACACATTATTTAGCCTACTTTCTACTTGAGTGCTAATTTTTGAAAATCAATTCCAGGGGAATGCTTTGGTATTTTTACCCAAACAAGGGAATGCCAGTGGACCAGAGAGCCAAGAATATGGCTGATTTATCGCTGTTTCCTGATAGAAGCAGGGCAAAATCTTTCCCCAGCCAATTCCTTCTTCATTTGTCAATAAAATGAAAATGTACATCTGTCTGGGGTTGGGGGGGGGGGAAAGGAAGGATTTCTTCCATTGTTTTGGAAAGTAATTGCACTTACTCTCTCTCCATTTGGTCCAGTAGTTCCAGGAGGTCCTTTTGCTCCAGGATCACCCCGTCGACCCTTAAACAAAGTAAAGAAACCAGTTAAATAGATTTTTTTTTAAAGTCACGTTTTATGTTTATTGCTGAGGTCTTCTCTCTTTCAGCTGGAATTCCTCTTCTATTTTCTTGGGTGTGGCAATCAGTTTGAGTCTAGCCAACTGGTAAGTATTGTTTTTCCAAATGGATTCACATCTTGGTTAAAAGAAAAAAAATCTGGTCTCATACATTCTCACAAAATTTTGTGTGTGTGTGTGTG